TGGAAAACAAAATGTCCCTTTTGCCAGCGCCGGATATAACGATATATCAGAAGTAGATAATAGGAACTATATATCTATTATCTATAGGCCTATCTATTATCTATATCTATTAGGACCTATTATCTACTTCCGGATATATAGTATTACTATAAATGAATTCTAATAATACTATGAATAAATACTGATAAGGCCGCTATAAATATATACTGATAATACTATAAATAAATAAAACTATTAAATTATACTTTGTATAATTAAATGTTTAGTTAAAAGGACACGAGGAGAGAAGGACCGTTGAATGATTGGGAGGGGTGGATACCAAGGAGAAAACTTGAGAGGAAGAAAGGAGAAAGTATTTACGCGGTAATAATGCAGAGGAGGGGTGAGAGGAACTTCGAGAAAAAAATTGAAGGGTTAGAGGAGGATAGGCGAAAGTAAGAAAAAGAAGGACAGAAGGATTGGGGAGGGGGTAGAGAAAACTGGCGTGGGAAGAGGAATACAGGAAACGGCATAGTAGGAAACGTAGTCTTTGGAAAATTGTTCAACGGGAAATCAGTTACAGGGAAAATTGGTCACAGGAATATTGGTCACAGATAGTAAAACTCATATTTAAAATAAGCACAGCAAAAAATGAGGAAGGAGCAAAGGAAGTGAATGAGGAAGGGACAGTGATAGAAACGGGTTCGTAGTAAACTGAGATGGAGGAGAGCACAAAATAAAGCTGTGGGGGGGGAGTGAACGAGGGAGAAGAGGTGGAGAAGGTAGAGAAGGAAGGTAGCAGAAAAGGGGGATGATAGGAGTATGTAGAAGAGAAGGCGCACGTAGAGGATGAGGAGGTGGAGGAGAAGGCGGGGGAGGAGGTAGATAAGGCGGGGTGGTAGAGCAGAATAAAAAATGGAGTAGATGAGGGAGGAGTCAAGGAAGAGGGGAGAATGTCGAGGAGGGAAGGATGAGGTAGGGGAGGGCGTGAGAAGAGGAAGAAGAGGAGGAAGAAGGTATACGAGGAGAAAAGAAAGTCGAGGAGGAATAACAAAGTACAGCTGGCAAATCAATGATGTAGGGGAGGGGTGGAGGAGGGAAAAGGTCGAAGGGGAACAGAGAAGGTAGTGGAAGGTGAATGTAATGCAGGAGAGAGTAGAAAATGAGGGAGAGTAGAGGAGGAGAGAGGGGAGAGAGGAGAGAGGGGACAGCGAAGGTAGAGGCGGAGGAGAAGGGAGAGGAGGAGGAAGAGGAGGAGGAGGAGGAAGAAGAGGAGCTCCCCCTCTTGCACATACGTCCACATCCTCCACCCCTCCCTTACCATTTCCACTTCTAACCTCATCTCTTCGCCACACCATCCGCACGCCATCCTCCCTCACCTGCTCTACTCCTATTCAATCTCCTCTTCCTCCTACCCTCCTCCTTCCATTCCTCCTCTACCGCCTCTTCTAACAAATCCCTCCTTTACCTTTTCCCATTTCTCTCCTCCTCTCGGTCTCCTTTCTTTTCCCATCCTTCTCTTTTGCTCTCTTTCACCTCAAATTACGTAATCCTCCTCTCTATCCTACTCCCTTCTCTTTTGCTCTCTTTCACCTCAAATTACGTAATATGCTCTGACCTGAAGGCGAAAAATTGTTCTACAGTTAGTTCCCGCTTTTTTTCCTTTTTTTATTTATTTAGGCAATTATCCATTATATACAATACATAGCATACTTTTACAATAAAATTCTGAATTCATAAATTTGGATAACTACCAAGGATATATACACAAAAAGTATGACTAGCACCCATATTTACATTGTGGTCCTTAATTGTTTTGCTATACCTATAGCTTGATTATGTTACTAACAATTACACTACTATCAGCACTGTACTATTGAAATATACAAATTTGTAGTTTTAACCCGTCATACAATGGTACATTCTCATAAGACGATACAAACTTTTCTTATACCTAATATTCTACCTAATTTCAGCCGAATTCTTTTAGCGAAAATCATACTCCTCTGCCTCTAATGTTTCTACAGTAGATCTTTTCTTTGCCAGCTCTCTGCAGCAATTTAGGTTATTTTGAATAGCTGCTTTTGAAATAAGTAACATGTACCGCATGTACGTAGAGTATGTTGGACGCGAGATGGGGGCGGACTGCAGAATCACGCACACGCTGTCAAAATACCAGTATTTAATGCGACAGTGGTGTATTACACTGGCCCTATATATATTCCTTACGCGTGCATAATTTTATTCATGGCGACTCAATACGTCACTTTTTGAGTAGAAACCTCACTCATTATTTTGAAACAATAAGTGAACGCGAATTTGCTTAACGTATTGCCAGTGAAGTAGTCATAATTTACAAATTTACATATATGGGATTTTACGTAACCCGGGTTGGCGTAACGCCGGTTTCGTTACTGTCGGAGTCATTGTATCAGTGTATGAATATTCATTCCATAAGATGGCGCCACCACCCGACTCTTATAGTCTTTTATTCAACTACAATCAGGCAACCAGTTTGGCGCTTTCTAAAAACCTAGCAAAATTTTACTTTGTTAGTAGCACAACAAAAACATTTTCAGTCCTGTGGTACACACATTATGCAGTTATTATTTTAATAAATATGCCGTTAACATTTTTAAAGTGTGGTATTTCGCGTACAGACGCAATACGAGGACAGCTACATAATGCTCACTTGTTTGTAAAAAATATAGTGTTTTCTGCTTTCATGTCCTATTCATAAGTATTTCAAAATTGAAATAACCATAAATGTTTTGAGTGCATCAAAACGCTAACACACGTGTATAATGTCAGTAGCGTTTGCACAGCGAGGGAAATCTCCTCCCAGTCAAGGAAAAATACAAAAGGTAAGATATGCCGTTGTCCATTGCGACTTACTTCGGCGTCAGGACTCCGATGTGGCACCGCCAACTTCAGCTTATTCAAATGATTACGATTAGGACTATTATCATTGTTCAAGTACAGTCTAGGCAACTTGATAAATCTATCCTGCAGCCCCATACATCTTAAACACGAACAGACAATATTTTATGTTGAAACTTGGTGGAACAATATTGCAATTATAATCTAGGTGATTACCGCCGGTAATGATTATTATCATTGGTGAGACAAAACTACAGCCTACACACTACACTATAGTCCGAGCCGACGCAGACCCCAGTAATGGGGTCTGCGGCACCTTCTCTTTTGCTCTCTTTCACCTCAAATTACGTAATCCTCCTCTCTATCCTACTCCCTTCTCTTTTGCTCTCTTTCACCTCAAATTACGTAATCCTCCTCTCTATCCTACTCCCTTCTCTCCCTCCTCCTGTAGTCCTCTCCCTGCTCTCTCTCTCCCATCCTAATTTTGGTAGCAATGCGAGGTTTACTATTTCGGATTCATCTTTCTGGGGACCATTTTTTCCGTGCTACCAATTTTCCTGTGATCAAGTTTCCGTGTGGCTACTTTTCCTGTCACCCACTTTCAGGATCCCTACAGGAGGGAGGGAGGAGGGTAGGTTAAAAACCTTGAACACGATAGCTTTGTCTTTGACGTTTGATACTATGCCGGCGACACAGAACACTCACAATGAAATGCGTTGTAGGCCCTAAGGCCGTTTCCGTTTATATCGGTTACGAATGCACCAAGCTAGCTTAGATACTAACAGATTAATGATAAATTCATAAATATTTCAGCCAAGAAAGTGCAGCAAACTGCAGTGCTGTACTGTCCCGTAAAGTGCTCCCTCACAACTACATGCTACGCTAGTAAACAACATAGCTAAACGTTCGTGATCAATTATTATTAATTTATGAACAGTAAAAACGTAATTAAGACTTTCGAAGGAACTCGCAAAGAATTATGCAGTTATATGTAGACTACAATGTGACATTCATTACAAAACCTTGCTGCCTTCCAAAGGTCCTCTGTGAACGAGATTCCACTAAATCGAGGGATTTTTAGTTTTAGGAATTGTGAGGTGGGGAACAATACTGGGTAATAATCTAACCACTGCCACAAATGTCGGTGCCCAATTCTACTAGCTTTTCACACATTTCATGCCAAGTTAAAAACGTGAATATTAATTCTGCATCAGAGAAAATTACGTTATGGCCTCCGACAATGTGCTGATACATTGTATCAAGAGCGTATAAAGAAGGCTTCTTTATACGCTCTTGATTGTATAAACATATACATCTCTTATTGGCTCTTGCTATATAAGAGACATATATATATATATATATATATATATATAATTTACTTGGGATTCCCCTATAGCTATATGTTACAACCGTATATTAGTGTACGCATTCTGGAATATTCGTGGCAACGCACCCAAATGTCACTTCGTATTGACCTAGCGAGCTGCCATAATAACATATTATACCTGCAATAGTGATTTTGCTCAATTATTCTGGGAAATTCCCCGAGTGCCAACAATACTTTATAGACTAATAGTCAGTATAATTCAGTGATATTTCTGTATTGCCATTGACTGATTTGACTGACTTGACATTAACATTCTGTATTGACTGTATTGACATTTCTAATTTATAGTATATTTGCTCAAACAGATTCAGTTTAGTCGATCAATATAGACGGTTTTCGCTTAACTGTTATCTACAGCATTGATTTCCGGTGATGAAACCTTAACGGTATCCAGTTAGCTCTGTCAGGCAAGCAATAAAAATGACACACGCACGCGCGCGCACGCACGCACGCACGCACGCACGCCCACGTGCACACACACACACACACACACACACACACACTCGCACGCACGCACGCACGCACGTACGCACGCACGCACGCATGCACGCACGCGCACACACTATACACATTAACGTTGGACAATATATTTTTTAGTCAATTTTCTGTTATAAAATCAGCGCATAACACGCAGATGATATCCTGCTGATGATGATGCTGTATCAAGTATCTAGAACCACCAACAGAAAGATACAGAACGGCTTAATAAATGCTGAACATCAGCAGAAAAAAAAATACGCGAGTTGATGCTCACCCTTTTTTCTGATGCCTTCTGGCACAGAGTAGGTGATGTTCCTGAAATCTACGTTCACAGGTCCCCGCTTGTTCAATTTCAAACACTGCCAGGTTTCCTGATCCATATTTTCCACCTGCAATGTACACAGCACATTATCACAGAAGTACAGCCCAGAGGGATGGTTTTCTTCTAGATATTTAGTGTGACAACTAAGTCTGTTGTTTAGATAGGGTGACAGCACCAGAAATCCTACTGTAAACACTGGAAGTGGGGACACGCGTGGTAACAATAAATAGACCCTCAGGTTCAGCAGCCCCTTGCCATACGTCACTCTAAGTTATCCGCCTGACAGGTGGACACAATAAGCCACACGAGTTGGTACAATGCACGCCTCAACTGGCCCCATGCCAACGCATAATTTATATATAGCTTTCAGCTCATCACCCAAGTCTATTGCGAGCACTCGTGTAATTACTAGTTAGCTACTAACGGGTGCTTCAGTCAGACAGTTATATACCTTTTTCAGCGGGAGCGGGTTAGTCGAATTGGCAGCGCCGCTACATTTTTCTGGCGTGGTCACTACAGCAGTCAGCTGCTCGCTATCTTTCTCCGCATTTTTCTGAGCCATATGGATTTGTATGGTCAACAGCTCGGCCATGTCTTCCTCCTCAACCTTTAGGTACCCGTTCCTGCAACGTCACCGACGAGGCGTGCATGAGGTAACATAATATGATATAAATAATATATGTGAAAAAATATACACCATATCAGGAGCGTATAATGACAAATATTTGTCATTATACGCTCCTGACCATATCAAGCGCTAATAACACATTGAGCAATTTTTATATTACCTTTATATTAGATTAGCTCTTGACCACGCATAAATATATATCAGGGGTTAATAATGACAAACATTTTGTCATTATTAACACCTGATATATATACTATATATATATATATATATATATATTATATACGTGTACGCACGTTCTATTAAACCACAATAATTATTGTTCTCGCAGCCACGTGTATCTGTTACACTTACAGAGCTGAAAGAGCTTGCTAGAAGTAGAGCCATGGCAAATCTTGCAACAGAATACTTCATTTTAATAGGATACAAACAAACAATCGCAACTGTGCAAATTACAATAGCTAACACTATATATTATAGTTCACTACAATGTATAATTTGACATCTACAGAATAAAATTACACTAAACTATATACATGCGATCAGGGGCGTGTACAGGATTTGTACCGGGGGGGGGGGGTCTAACCGTAACCCAAACTTGCGAGCACGAAAAATTTTGAAATTAGACCCCCTTAGATGCATTTTTTTCTGCGCGAGCAGGGGGGGGTCCCGGACCCCCTGGAAAACCCTGTAAAATGCCCTGGCGATATGCCCAGAAACACGTACATATATATTACACGTATTTACTTAACTGTTACACGAGCGCAACACAACACCATACATTTAGGTACAAGGTTTCGTCTTCATAAGTTTTCAATTATTTAGACCCAAATATAAAAGAAAAAAACGTAGCACCAAGGCAACGTTATACTGTGAACGAAAATACAACAAAACTCACGCCACTTATGTTAGCAAAACGCATAAGCGCAAGTTGCATTTCGTTTGAGACGGCGCGAAACGTTACAAATATAATACCTCCCATTTGCGAGCAGCATTCTTTGTTCGTTTCATTTCTTTCGATTCTACAATGCGTCTGACAGTTTGTCGCTTAGCAGTAGTCGAGCGATATATATACACATATATTCTGTAAGCAACGACTGCAATTAAAAGAACATGAACATTCTCATACTACTACCTTTATACGCGCAACCGTTTCACTCGTTTGTTTACATGTTCATCACAGCTCATTTCGACTCTCGCGCGCGCGTCTGGCGTGTGAATTATGGGTATCGCCTACGCGTGACTCACTGCGTCTGCGTGCGCCAAAGAGCGAAGCGGCGCACTCTCCTTGTGCCACCTTGTCTTGCCTTTCGTTAGACTAGTTCCAGTT